TTTTTTTTTTTTTTTTTTTTTTTTTTTTTTTTTTTTTTTTTTTTTTTTTTTTTTTTTCCAAATTGAATTCTTGATTGAATCAGAAGGTTGGGGGAATAGAGGAAAAATGCGTTGGAGTTGACACTCATGTTTAAGTAAAAAAGATATAGTACGTATAGTTATATAGTAGCCAATACTTAAAAGCCGACAACGACACACTCTTAAATCTGAAAAATAGATATACTTAGAACATCACTTAACGCGTTCTTGCACTCGCCTCTTCGATTGAAGAGCTCATTGTGAGATAATGACACAACAGGCCACATAAAAAAAATATATAAATATGTTTTAAAGATTTAAAAATAATTAAACAGCATTGCTAGTACTTTTGATTTTACAGAGAGCAAAAAATAAACCCTTTAATATCTTTTGATATCGGATTTTCAAGTACAATCGTAATACTACAAAGTGCTTATCTTAAATATTCCAATAAATTAATGCAAGTACAAAAGTGTACTTTCTTTGAATAAATATGCTTTTTTTTCTCTACGGATTTCAATTCCTGATCCTAAAAATATGGAAGATAGTTGCAACCTGGAAAATATAGTCCTAATAATTTAGGTAAGTTTATGGTCATAAGTTTAGGCCCTTTAATTTCATCTTTTACATATTTCCCCATCTCAAAGAAGAAATAAAATTTTAATTTTTAAGAAATATTATCGATTTTCCTCAAATCTGATTTTGTCACTTAAAATTACATAGATTAAATTGTAGAAAAAATGTAAGTACTACGTATTTCAAATTTTTTTTAACCATTATTAAATTAAAGAAATAATAAAGGGACAAAAAAGAATTAAAGGAAAATAGAAATTTACAAAGAATATATAATCTGTTTGCACAACATAAAAAAATTCCTATATTTTTTTTAATCATAAGACAGATTGAATGAAAGAATGACTCCAACACAGGATCATTCTAAAAAAAAATTTTCCAACTTTTTCGTTATCATTTATAATTTTAATCAAAAAAAATCGACTCTGAGTGACTTACAATTAAAAATTCAGAAGTACTGTAAGAAAAGTTTTAAATAAGACAGTAATTGGTCAGTAATCACGGAATTTTTAACAAAGAAGGTTTAGCATATGAAGTAGAATTAATTATAAATACGTATTAACAAGAGAAAGCATCATTAAAAAGAAATTGTAAAACAGATTTCCGTACTCCGATTAATCTTTACTATAATTGAATCTGAATTTAACTTTAATTAAATATTCTATTTTTATTAAACATAGTGCAGAATTCCTTTGAAGATAAATGTAAAAAATGATGAATTATATCAAAATACTTTTTGAACGAACTTAAGTTTGATTTTCTAAAACTACGTAAAAAAGTTTCTAAAAATATCTTTTACTTCCTTATCAAATAAGATTTAATGAAAATTTATGAGTGCAGTTTTTGTTCTTATAGGTAATAAACACCAATAATTTTTTTTTATTCTCGAAAACCCCTTAGAACTTAGATTTTTATTTCGGTTATACTATTTTGTTATACCCATTTTAGGTTGAATCAAAATATTCCTTCAGCAATTCTTGTCGCCTACTATTCAGTTAACTTTATAAAATAAAGAGACCTAAATTTACAATTAAATTTCATATTTTAAAAAGAAAAATTAATGAGTTGTCTTTCTCGCATTTTAAAGTAGAAATTAGTTACTTGAAATAATTTACGAGATTTGTTTAAAATGTTTTCAAGGCACATGAAACATTCAATTTAACCTAATAAAAGAAAGTTCTCATAATTTTATATATATATACATATATTTCTTTTCTTCTCTTTTTTGTAATTTCTTGACGATGTTTTGATAATGAAAAAATAAAATATCATTGAAAAATTCAGATTTCGACAATAGTGGGTTAATAACATAAAAACACCATAATTAAATACTTGAACCACTATACTTGCTATATCTTTATTGAAAAAAATGCGATGCTAAAATCGTAGTTGAAAAGAAAATCATAAAAAGTCAGTCTGGATTGTAAATCACGTATTTATCCAACCATGGGGGTAATGAGGGTTTTGACTTCCGTTCAGGTCATTACAAAAAATTTCCATTTTATAATTAACTATTACAAGTTAAAATAAGTATAAATAATTAATTTTGCCACAGTAACCAAAAATAAGGTTGAATTTTATACGAATTTAATGCAAATTTGAAATTGGTTTATTGTTACACATATAAGTGTATTCAGTATTCATCTAACTTATAACTTCAGAAGCCATATTATTTAAATAAAAAATATTCGCCAGCGGTAGCCTCTTCGATTGTGTATGCTTATGTGAAAGAAAGGAAATTAGTATGTGGACAATATCTGTTGAATATCGATATTCAGTATTTTCATGATCGCTTTAATGGAATGTTAGAAATAATTGTTAGTTATTACTAATTATATTGTTTATACCTAAACCTACAGAGAAAAAAAAAAGCAAGTGTCAGAAATACCAGGCACCAAAAGACGCGGTTGCTATTAAAAATAATTAAATTTACCCAAATAATAACAAGGGATAAATGTGTTAGCCATAGTGTGGTATATTTTTCCAATATTTCCAACATTGAAATTTTTTTTTTCTCGTTCTAATTCGTCGATCCCAATCGAATCTTATTAATATTAAAATAAATTTTAAAATTTTACAAAAATTAATTTCAAGTCTATTACACAAAATATTTCGGACATTTATTCACCAAAGAAGTAAAGAAGTTGCGTGATTTTCACCGAAGAATTACTTCATCCAACCTAGTTTCGGAATTTCACAATTATATACACAAAATAAAATTTTGAATTTCATTGAAATGCAGACAAAAGTTCATTAATTAGGATTGTAGTTTAACCTCAAATGCACATATATCAAATAAGCTTTAAAACAGTTTCACAGTTCTAATTCTAATATCCGAAAATCTTAATGATGTATAACTCTCTTTTTTAATAAAAATTAAACTCTCATTATAATTACAAGCACAAAAGAGCTAAGCAGCAACGATGCAGTTTCGTAGTCGCATTAACTATATTTTTTTTTCCGAATAATATTAATAATTAACAGAGATAAATTTTCGAAATAACATTAAAATTCAAAATGATGATTAAAAGGATTGAACAGATTTCCCACGGATGCTAGAGATATTTAATAGATATAACGAAAAGTAGGTAAATCTCGATCATTTAACATTTGTGACCACCACTAAAAGATTTCGTAAAGAAAATATTTCGGTATAAGAACTATGTCCAACCAAATATCTAAACGTGTAAGTAACATCTTAAAACGGGTAATTCCACTAGGATTAATGCTACTTTACTACCACTATTAATTATATTAATATTAGTCAATATAGTATACTTTACTATTAATCATATTAGACTACATCATCACTATTAATTATATTAATAGTGTTCAGTAGTAGCATATTAATAGTCACAGTAATAATTATATTAATCATAAATGTGACTTTATTACCACTATATTAATAACTACCACTATAAAATTATAAATTTTACTACCACTATTGCACTCGTGATATCCTTGTAAAATATATTTAATTATAGTAAGATAAATAATCAGCTTTTCTTTGAAATTTTCAAATAAATTACTTTATTATAATGAATTTTCTTAAAAATTCGAAAAGATTAAGAGAAAAAAGGAAAGATAAAAAAAAAGTTTACCATCATGATTTTTTTTTTTTTTTTTTTAAATTATGTTTCGTGAAAAAGAGGTCACGTAACAAAAATCTGGAAGTCAGACAATTTCAAACGCCTTATATTTGTGTAATAATAAGAAAAATCCACAGTAATAAAGGTAAATTCGGAATTACTGCCTTCTTTGCAAGAATGTTTTTTTAAAGATGCAATTAAAATATACGAAATTTGAAGGTCAATATAAGGGTAAAAGAACGATCCAGCGAAAAAATTTTCTTAAAATTTAAAATATTTAAACTAAATAAAAATCAACTGTTACATTGTCCGTAAGAGGATACTTACAAACAAAATACAGAAGATGCATCAACCGAAACTTCAAGAATAAAATAAATGCTGATTAAAATATCCCTGAATATATAATTTCATTAAGATATAAATCACTAAAATTTGCACAAATTAGTAATTTAAAAAAAAAATTTACTGGAAAAGTATCTTGACATTCATTAATTAGCATTCACAGACGCAAATTTAAAATGTCGTTATTTGAAAATTAACTAATTATGAAACTAATCGTTCAAAAAGTCCAAAATTTTTTTTTTCTTTTTCTAAAAATTTTATCTTTTTTTTTTCTAAAAATTGTATATTGCAAAATTGTATTTTTTTCTGTCTTTAAATCATAATTTTTGAATAAAATAAATCAACGGAAAAGTCTTTATGTTACAACCTGCGAAAAATTTGCCCATATACATAAAATATATTTTTTTCACAATTTTAAAGTATAAATTTTGACTAAAATAAATCATGGGAAAAAACATTTTCGATTAAAAGTTGTTTGTTCATTTTGTTAACTGTACTCAATTTTCTTACATTTTAACTTTGAGAAAAACAACAGCTTTAACAGAAATTACTAAAAGGACGTTTAATATAAAGTTTACTAATAACTCCTTTATTTTTAACAGAAGTTATTTATTTTTAGACTCGAAGAATCTTTTTTAAATAGTTCTTTAGAAGAAAAAGAAAAGATCTTCAGGTAAGCGCATGGGGCGACCCCTCGAATGGGAAGATGCCATCCGATTTTTCAGGTGTGGAGGTAGGTAGAACGAGGAATTAATGAGGGAATCCAGAAAAAAGAAAGAAAGCAAAGCTATTCCGAATTCCCAGAGAGGGACAACCAAAATAAAAAAAAGTTCACCCAGAATTTCTCGGAGATTCCAAAAATATACACAAATTCATATACAATGCCGGGTGCTCGAACGCTCCAAATGGGAATGAAGAAGAAAGGAGAAAAACAAAAGAACTTATTTACCGGAGGTTGTCTCCTAACCGAATCAATCCTTTCCCTTCAATGCACTGTTGCTTGTCGAAACTGGTTCAAAAATCACAACACTTCACTAGTCCCCGGATTTTACCGGAACCGGTTATCACATTGCCGGGATTTTTGCCTCCAGGGGTGGTGTATTAGGGAGATCAGACGAGCACACATACACAGAGGATAACTGTTACTTCCTGGAAGATAACTGTTGATCGGACCTATCCCCAAGTGGTTGTAAGGACACGAATGGAATATTTTAGTCCAACGAAGATAATTCCCGCTGAGAGGAGTGATTGAGGATCTTCGTCGAGGATCGTTCCGTCATATCCTCCATCTTGAACGAGGAATGGTGGGATGTTGTTTCACGGGAAAGGATCACTCCGGAGGGGGGAAGGTGGGTAGGTGGGAGTGAGTGCTCCGTGACGTCAATCCCGTGGCTTCTCTTTTATTTTTTTCTTTTCCTTCTTGAAGAGAGCGACAGATAGAGAGAAGGTAAGGCAGGAAAAGAGAGTAAGAAAAATTCGTTGGAAACGAAATCAATCGCAGAGGAAAAAGTCGATAGGGAAGTATTGGACGCGAGACAGGACGACCCCAGGTATGCTTTAACCCTCTCGAAACAGGTAGGAGCGTCTAGTTCGAGCTGAATGAGTGGAAAAGGCCCTCTTCCACCCCCGAAAATATTACGTTAAAATTGGGTTGGACGATTTATAGTAAACCGGGGTTCCCGACTCTGAATCGATCCTTCAGCGAAAAGGTTGGGGGCACGAACAGTCCCAACGGAAAATATCAGTGCTAACAAGCGTACTTGTACATCCCAAATTCCATTGGAACGAACTAAATGAAAAAGAATCTGAAGAAGGAAAGGAATTCAAACTTTTCTTTTTTAAATATTTTACGCTAGTAGTTTTAAATTTTATTTTTTAACACTTTCGTTTAGAGATACTACTGTTCTAAATTTTCTTCGGCAATGGAACTATGAATGATCAACTTTGTTTTGGCGGAACCCCGATTTTATAACTATAATAAAGACAATTGTGAACATATTTAACAATAAAAAATAAATAAAACTTTCTTTTGAAAATGTAACTTTACTTTATCAATAATAATCATAAATTAGTTTGATTAGTTTAGTTTAATAATCACAAATTAGTTAAATTAAAATCATAGATTTATATAATACAGTTGAAATTGCAGTCCTGGAGTTGAATCTAGTCTTGCTATATGAATTTGTTTTTGGTGTATAAGCGTCCTGGAGTTGAATCTAGTCTTGCTATATGAATTTGTTTTTGGTGTATAAGCATAAGCAGGAAATTAATATCCTAAACCAAACTGTGGTTTCCGTTAAAAAAAAACTGAAAATTAATTTTAAAAAAATAAACAAAAAAAAACGTTAGACATAGGTATTGGAGAAACATGTCTAGATTAATGCATTTAGTCATTTTATTTTATTAGAAAAGCGCGATAGGAAATATTAATTTTTTTTAATAAATAAATGCACGTCTTTTTCATAATTCGTTCAATGCATTTAAATAAGAAAAATCATAGTTTCTGAGAAAAAAGCTCCTTCTTTTGCATTTTCCCTTTTCATTAAATAATTTCGTAAAGGCCACCAAAATATCAAGCAAATAGTACATTGATTGAATTTAAATCTAATTGAACGTTTCAAAAAAAAAAAAAAGCGTAACTCTCTGAGTTTCGGGATCGGCATCTAATCTGATTCTGAATTTGTGCTTGGTGTGAGCATAAGCTGTAAATTAATAAAAAATAAGCTGAACATTTTCATTCTTTCATTGAAATTAAAGTTAAAAGAACTGTCATAAGCTTCGAGAATGGTTAGCAGAAAAGTATATTTCTTTTCTGCTAATTCAATTCTTAAATTATTTTGATTATTAAGCAATTTTATGAAGAAAAAAATGCTTTATCCAAAAATTTACTTGTTTTTTTTATCAGCACTTAAATGAATTCATAATAAAAACAATTCAAATATTAAATAACTGGATTATTGATTGGATGCGAAGGTAATTACAAGTTTCAAAAGTCATTAATAATTGAAAGGAATCTAATCTAGCGGAACCCTTTGTAATTTTTCCAAGAAACACCTTTTAGGAACTGCTGGTTTATAGTATTGTGATGGTTTGTTGTTTCTAATGCCACTTGCCAAATACCAGCAAGCCTGCTTGGTGAAACTAAGCGAATTTAAGGCCGAAAATACATTTCATGCTTTTAAGTCGGGCCATTTATATCCAAAATACGACTTCAGCCACACACACATCACAGCCCGATGCGTAGAGCGAACCGATTCATACATCCATTCACAGATCGTAATTTTGACCTGAACCAGAGAACAATCTATCTCCAATTCAGTACCTCAGAGATATTGATTTGCTATGAGTTCATGAAAGACTTGGTGACCCGATAGATTTAAAGTGCACCTGTCACTATTTACTACACGGGAAGTTTTCGGCCGACAGGGACCCAACGCCATACCAACCAGACTATACCATTCTGAAGTTGCCATTCTGTGAGCAGCAAAACGGCCCACGTAGTATTTTTTACTGTAGGTTTAACAGCTAATAATTCTCGAGATAAGAATCGAATGATAATATTGTTTTATACCATTGTATTCTTTATACATTGTTTTGTCTATCTTCTATTATACTTCCAAAATTTTAATTCTGATAGTTTTGGAGCAGCTAACAAAATACAGCGATAGTTTTTTTACGTAACGTTAATAAAATGTAATGTAGCTTTTTATATTAATAAAATACAAAGATAAATAGTAAAAGTAAGAAAGTAGTTTTTTTTTTTTTTTTTTTTTTTGAAAAAAAAAAATTTAAAAAGGGANTTTTTTTTTTTTTTTTTTTTTTTGGAAAAAATAAACTTTAAATAAAATGCACATTAAAACAATGAAAATTTCTCCCTTAATGCCGAGAAGTCGCCAAGAATTTTAAATACAAATTAAAATTAATTCGCAGAAAAAAAAGAGAAAAAAAACCTCTTCTAAGTTAGCGAAAAATAATTACAAATTAAAAGTTCCAGGAGCTACAATTATTTCCTTCGCCAGTAAGCAAGCATTGCTTTCATTAAAAATATTGTACTTTTTTAAAAATGAAACACAATTAAAAGAATATAATAGCACAAGTCCATACGTTTTTTATGCTATTATACATATATATTTTATAATGCAATTTCTTACCTTTTTTCATAAAACGTTGAGTTCTTTAATTTCTACATTAATCCAAATACTATAATTCACAAAAAGGACAGAAAGTAAACTGAAAAATAAAAAACAAAAATTTTTTTAAAAATTAAAAAAATAAATACCAAAATATAGCTATTGACAAATATTAATGTAATATTTTTTTAACCTTTTTACAATAATTTAACGACATATGACAATAAGAAGAATTCATGAAACAATTCATCCACAAAATATGTTTAAAATATGTTTTATTAACACGTTGAAAGCCACGCTAATTTTACATGGCTTGCCCGTCTGGCCAAAATGATTTTTGTGTGATCTACAATGCATTAATTTCTTCAAACCATTTTAGTAACGATAATAATATAAATAAAATTAAAAGCACTAAAAATTTACTCGAATTATGTGCTTCTAATAATCTTGGCTTCTCCGGTCACCGGTGACCCCCGTGACATTACGAACAAACTCAGTGCCGGTCACCGGTGACCCCCATGACATTCAACGCGTTAACATTTCGCAGTTATACACATTCTAGCTATAAGTATCTGGACACCCATCTACGCATCATAGAGTAGGGGTGTTTTTCATGGTTTGACCTGGGTCCATTAGTTCCCGTGATTGGAAACATGAACTGGATATCGGGAAAGAAAGGCCCGTTTCTCTTCCAACAGGATAACTGCTTCATTCACACATCGAAATTTGCTCAGACATAGTTTGACGAAATAGGTGTTCAAAAACTGTAAAACTCCGGTTTAAATCCCATAGAACACTTTTGTAAAGAATTAAAAAGCCGATCATTTAGCTAGCCAAATTGACCATCCTCATTGCCAGTACTCCACTTCAGCTGTGGCGAACGCCTGAAAATAAATTCGTATGGCCACCTATCTAAAACTGGTGGAAAATTTCCCCCGACATGCGTGCAACCTGTCCTCAATGCAAAAGGTAGATTAACAGCATATTAATGTATGCGTCAAAACTCTAACAACTCCATACTACTGAGTGTTTAGATACTTTTGCTCAGATCAGCGTAAGACCATTTTTTATTTGGCAGGATTAAGTCTGAATCTACACGGCATTAACTAAATATAATTTTATTTGAAAAGTCATTATTTTACATTTTACGCAAACTAGTGTGTCATTTTTATCATTTTTATTTTTAACATAATTATGGAATAATAATTTAAAAACCTTTTTCTGTACATAACCTACACAACTGGAAAATTGGCTAATATTATACTAAACTTATTCTAAAATTCTAGCACTAACACAACCTAGTTTTGCTATAAAATTGCAAATAGTCTTTAAACATGCATATGAACCTTTTCTTAAAATTATTCGTGACTTCTAAAAGTTTTATTTCCAAACTTATCGCAAGTTTGAAACTAGAGAGGGGGGGGGGGATTCTATTTATTGTAATAATTTGACCTGCACCGATAGCCGAACAGAACATATCATACAGAAAAACAATTTCCAAACAATGATGTATAATCAATATTATTTACAATAATTAAGATATCTTGTTTTCTCTGTCTTTCAATTTTATTTTTTAAGAAAAATTAAAGTACCAAACTTTCGAGAAATTAGTTTCAGTTCATTATTTTTAGGTCTTAGTGTTGGGTTCGCGTACATACCAGATGCAACAATTCGTGATTACTTGAATTTTAAAAAAATTTGCATCATACCATTTACAAAGAAATATATTATTTGGTGGTTATGATGTTAAAATAATATTACCGTACCGATACAATGCGTATTGCAAGGTGATACAACTCAAATCTAAAAATCTTATTATTATGAAGGAAAAAAATTAACACTTTAGGGGGGTGGGGGGAAACACTATGCTAGATAAGAGAACTAGGAAGGATAATGCTTAGAAAATTTTTTAAAAATGCTTTGTTTAATGCTAATCAGAGAGGAACCAGGATTTAATTTACTCATTCCTTTATGTTAGGAATATTGCACATATAACGGGATTAAGCACACACTACTTTGGTTTTTAATAGGTTGATCATCAACAAAGAAATTTTATTTTTTAAAAATCTCACACCGATATTATTCGTTGGACAAGGAGGATAGATATCTTACAAAAATTTACTTAATTACAGTAGTAAGAACTATATACAACTGGTTTAGATT